GTAGCATGTTGTACTAAGTGATAGTGAAAAGTGAGTATTATATATACTGCTGGTGTCCCAAGCCAACAATATAAACAATATGGATATGATATTTGATTTTTTGAGATAAAAAACAGTCCTTTAAGAACAGAAAGTAGTTATTTAATAAGAATTGTTTTTTGATAAAAAATATAAATGGGAAGAAATCCAAGGAAAATTTATAGAAAAGTAATTGCCATGGGTCTTTTCTCATGCAATTCAAGAAAAAAGCAAGTGCCCCAAACTTGTTTTTCCCTAGCCAGAGGTCCTATTTTGATGCATCAGTATACTCTTTTAGGTTTCTTGAGGTTCTTATAGTAAAAATAAAAGAAATAAGAAAAACTTTTGGATATTGAAAGGCAATAAAAAAACTGTTTCTTTAATTTTAAAAAAAATTACTATAAAAGAAAATTTTTAAAAAAATTTTTGTGTATGGGAAAGAGTTTTTTTTTTTTTAAAAAAAAAATAATATTAATATTAAATAAATATTTAAAAAAATTTTATTAAAAAAAATCTAATATTATTAATTATTTTTATATTTTATATATTTAAAGTTTATATTATAATAAGTAAATATTTTTTAAAAAATTTTTTATATTGTTTTGATTATATATAATATATTGCTTAATAAATATATATATATTTTTTATATTTGCAATCAGACTGGTGTCATATATTTATTAAATTATAAAGAACTATTATATATATGAAAATATATACAAAGTACAAATTTTCTTAATCCAGCTCATTTGTCTTAAGCCTAAGCCTCTAAATGTGATTTATAAAAGTGATATGTTGCTAGCCTGATGATTAGGATTAAGATTCAATTATGCTATAAGGATTACAACCTGCAGATCACTTCTATAATTATGACTATAAATCCAAATTGTATTGTTTCCCTTTTGCAGAAACTATGCAAAGGGCAAGAGATAAAAAAAAGAATAAGGGTAGAAAAAACAGCACAAATATGTACAAATAAAGTGATATAAAAAAGAAATAAAACTATTATCTATTCTATTTATCATTGAAATAGTATTTCAGTGGATAAAATCCAGACCTCTTATGAATACTTACTTGTTATCATTTATAGTCAGTCAAATTGTTTAATTTCTATTGAAGCGAGTAATATCTAAGAATGTTTAAGGACACTTCTTGAAGAGTATTTCTTAAAACTTTAGACTTGAAGACTTCTGTCCAAAAAGGATATTGGTTTCTATTGTTGATTTCTCTTCCAAACTATGTCTTTCTGGAATTATTTCTTTGCTCAACCAGTAAATAATTTCAAGATCCTTTTCTTCAACCATTTTCAGAATAGACATCATTGCTTCAACTTGTTGCCAGATTGGAATAGGATTTGAATCTTGTATTTACTTCCAGTTCTTTAGATAGAATAGAAAAAGAAAGGGGCAAATAAAAGAAAAAAATAAAAAGGAGATTGTTCCTCCTCTACTCACAACTTCAAACTTTATTCAAACCTCCCTTATTACTCTTTTAACTAAAAAATTGTCCAATTCTTTCCAAAATCAATCACATCATCGAATTGATATTACGTGACTTGAAACATATAGGAGAACATGTCTTGTTTACTTTTTCTGTGGCTAATATAATCAATTAATCCATAACCTTGACTAATCATCTTGCAGAAAAGTCTAGTGTAATAAAAAATTCAGGATCAAACTAAGGTAGACAAAATTCCTCCAAAAAATCAGAAAAAAGAAGACATGCTAGAAAGAAAGAAGTGTAAAGCCAGAGAAATGATATAAAGGCTAAAGACTTCTTTTTTTTTATTTCTCTGAGCTTTTAAACCTTTTGGAGGTCTTTGGAGTATACTTTTTCTTGTTAGTTTTTTTCTTAGAAAAGTGTTTTTGTCATAGACCTTTTGAATATGTTTCTTGTATTTAATCACAAAAATATGCAAAAAGGTATTTGAAAAAGAAAAAGAGAACAAGTGGTAATAGCTGCTGCTCACACTGCTAATTAAGGAATCAATGTTGTTAAGGATAGTATATAGACTTTATTATCAGAAAAATATAAAATCTTTTGAGAACATCTGTTTTTTGGATTGATAAATAAATTAATGGAAAGAGTTTTTATTGCTTAATAAAAAAAATATATATATATATTTTAAGGGCTAAAGTGCAATACATGTGAGAATTTTATTGTAAATTAACAGATTACAAATAACTTGCTTAATAAAATATTATTTAATAAAAAAAAAAATTATTTATAAAGATTTTTGTAATTTGATTAAAGGAATAAATAAATACTGACTTGTAGGTTTATAGTACAGTGGTTAGTATTTCATAGATCAAATCACAAGATATCAATTCAACTCCAAGTGAAGGCAGTTGAATAGTATTAATATGATATCTGATACTATAACTTGTTATGTATTGTTTCTTATATAAAGCTGATTTACATGCTAATCCAGCAAATATTGAGATTGTAATCTCTAAAAAAGATATTGTGATGTTACAATCGTTTAGTTGATACTATATATGTTGCTGAAATTTGTAGATCCTTGATGCAATTGACGCAATTATTTGACGCAATTAATTGAGTCACTATTAAAACATATAAATAATTGAGTCATGACGCAATCATTTTTGAGGATTTTGGGAATTGAGTTAACAACAAAATATTAATACTATGATAATTGCCAGAAGCTATTTTATAGTAATTGAAACAAGTGAAGTTGAGACACTTGTTTAATTTTCCAATTAAAACTTTCCACATATTTGAATATAAAGATTGAATTATACTTTATTCTAATTAATTCCAATCAACTGTCTCTTATTTTCTACTAGTTACCATATAGGGAACTTTGAAGTAAGCATTGTATTGACACTAATGTCTTATGCAACATGACTTCCTAATAGCTTACCATATATATATATGTATACATCACGTAAAGGTTCCTTTGTCATATTAATTGCATGAATGAAAAGGTGTAATGTAATAAACAACTTATAAAAATAATTAGTAACTTACTGTTTTTGCACAAAAATTGAATCAGTAGATTGGATGATTTAAACTAGTAATAGGATTTTTACCTTTTAGATAGGCTTCCTGAAAACAATATGACACACTTCAAGGATGAATAGCATGTTGCCAGGCATAAAAGGTAATTAGACTAGCATTTAGCTATAGTCATAGCATTATAAAGAATGTTTGATGTAACATGATTTATAAGAATATTCTAAAAATATACAATAAAAACCTGTATCTAATGCTGTTCTACTATAAAAAAAAAAAAAAAAAAAGAATAAATAAATACTGTAATTATATTTCTTTCAAAAAAAAAACAATTTATTTGTAAAATTATATATGTTAAATAATTTCAGAATCTATCTTTATTTATAGCTAAATGATATTAAATAATCAAAATTTTTTTTAAACAATACATATTTGTTAAATTATAATTATAAATTTATTATTAAAAATCATTTTATATAATAATAATTGTTTGATTTTTGAAATGTTGCTTATTCACGTGTTACCTCGCGTCTTTCGCGTCCTATAATATCCGTTAATATACCTTTCCTTCAGTAAGAGGAGTGGAAAGGCCCTTGCGAGCTAAAAATGGTTCATTAGATGTTCTTTGTTGAAGCAGAACATATGGAAGTGATAAAATCAAGATTCAGGAAATTAGTTTTTATTAGTAATACCTTTTCTGGATATTTCAAGGCTTGGACTCTCTCAGTGTCTTAGCTATATTTACCAGAGAAGTCCTGTACTTTGTACGTGCAAGAAGTTCACACAAAATCTATCCTTCTGAGAATTTTTATTAATACATCTTAGAACATGTTCCATAAAAACTGGAGAGCATAGAAAAAAAAGAGATATGTTCCTGAGTTTGAAGATAGGATGGGAAACAAATATATGAAAACTCACTGAGAACATTACATCTCATTCTCATAGTTATGATAAAATACGATTATGAAGTTAAGCTATAGTGGGTATATAGATCATGCTAATATGTAAAAAATTAATTTAGACAATTGATCTAGATTTGAGAACATCTACTGGATGTTCTTTAGTATTCCCCTCACGTCAAAAACATCATGGAAGTATGTTCGATAGTAAACATTTTGATGCGATGTAATTCATTTTAATCTGTTATGATTAAACAAGGCCTGTCTATGTGGACACTGGAGAGGCTGTCCTCTTAATTTAGCCACGAGCATTAGAAGAATGTGAGCGATGTAGGCCTTCCTCGAAAAAAATAAGACCTATTGAAAAAGAAAATCGAGTTTTTTTTATATGTACTGTATATATGTTTGTTTCAATCATGAATGTTTATTTCAAACCGCACATTGTGAAATGAAATCATTAATTGATCTTACTAATAGCATTAAGTTTAAGAAATATTTGTATAAGAGCTAAATAGATACATTACACATTGTAAGGTTTGTAAATAAAATTCACTTCAGCAAATTAAAAATTACCACGAAGGGTCCCTCGACTTTCAAAACTTCATTTAGTTCCGAACCTAAAACATCATATCCATCCATCCAATTTCCGTCGCCTGATCAATTTTCACCTCTCACCCTTGTAGCTTCTTTTCCTTCCAAATCTTCAACAATTAATCTGTCTACGGCGTAAAGACTATTCAAGTAACCTTGCCTCTTTACCACATTTAATTCATGTTCAGCTTTCTTGACCAATTCTGTAATTTTATCCGGCCTAGTCTCATTTTTATGTTGGTGAAATGAATCCCGAGTCTTACGGTATGCATAATCTCTGAAATTATAATTTGAAAAATTTTTGCTAGCTTTTAAGAGTGAGCGATAGATTTGTAAAACTTGAGTTCGACTTGGTGTCACGGACATTGTCTCGGCGTAGGAATTTACGTTTTTTCTCTCAGATCAACTTATAGATTATTGAAAACTTGTACTGAAAATTTTCTAACGTGTAATTCTGTTTTTTCTTTTACGTTGAGTTTCGTAAAGCAATAAGACAAATGTACCGTAAAGGTAAGAATTATTCATCGATAAGAGTTTTCTATCACTCCCTAGATTATCAAAAAAAATTATATATATTTATCCACGTGACCAATGAATTTATAAATAGATATCGCTATAATAATAATAGATTTATATTTATTTATTAAAATAAATTATTTTAATATAGAAATCTGCCATATTTATTAAAATTTATTAAAATAAAATATATAAATAAAAATATTATATATTAATAATTTTAAAATGTTTTTTTATTTAAAAAAACTATATATATATATATGTAGTTATATATAATTAATTTAATCTAAAATATTTAATGATTTTAAATCAAATCAAAATTTTTAGATTAATAATAAATAATATATATGTATATTATAATTTTTAAAATCAAAGGATTTTTTTAATACTTGAAATCTTATTATTTTTAAAAAATTAATAAATACATTTTATTTATTCGATTCTTTTCCGGACACTTCCTCACGGAACCTCTGGATTTCACCGGAGATCGTTTGCTAACGATGTTTTTTATTATTTACCTAGAATAGAAAGTAACAAATTATAAATTTTAATAATACAAGATTTTTCCAACCAATAATGTTTTGCGCCACCTGTCTTATGTTCCTTCCTATTTATATATCGGCGGCTACGAATGTACCACAAATTTGCATCATGGGATGCCAAAAAAAAAAAAAAAAAAATGTATATTAAACCAACTAGTTTAATAATAACTAGCAACTTTTTTTTTACAAAAAAAAATTTTTTTCCATCCGTCAAGTATGAGTAAGTGAGTATTATTTCGACCCGTATTATTATATCTTAATGGTGGCTTGCGTCTGAGCCGTGAAGTAGCCGCAATACCTCTGAATCTTCCAGTTCAGGCGGATCCCTCCTATTTTAAGAAATTCCGGTTGTTTAAAAAAATATTGAGCACATTTTACAAAGACTTAAGATCTTTATCTGATTTATGTAAAGAGACGAGAAATTTCTAGAATCTATTCTCATTTTTATGAGTAAAATCCTCGAGCAAACGGTTAAATTGATCTAATTAAATCGAATATCTTGATTTTTGTAAAACAGGCAAGAAGATACTGAATTTAATGACATTGCCGAAGGGGAGATTGAGGTGAGTCAGAATTATTTATATTGACATTATTATTTAAGGATCTAACTTTCTTTATCGAGTTAGTCCAACTGGGAAGAAGTTGTCGATAATTTCGATAATATGAATCTCAAATCTGAACTTCTTCGTGGTATCTACGCATACGGGTCAGTTGAAATCAGGCCGTTTTTTTTTTCACATTTCTGTTCATCGAATGAATAATAAATTTAACAAAAAGAAAAAAAAAAATCTTTTTTATACGTCCTTAGTTTCGAAAAACCATCTGCCATTCAACAGCGAGCTATTTTACCTGTGATTAAAGGACATGATGTAATTGCTCAAGCACAATCGGGAACCGGAAAAACCGCTACATTTTCCATTTCAATTCTTCAGAAACTTGATATGTCCATTAACCAATGCCAGGCCCTTGTACTTGCACCAACTCGTGAGTTAGCCCAACAAATTCAGAAAGTTGATATTGCGCTTGGCGATTTCATGAATGTTGAATGTAATGCTTCTATTGGTGGCACAAATGTTCGTGAGGGTATCAAGAGACTTGAAGCTGGCGCTCACGTTGTTGTTGGTACCCCCGGTCGTGTATTTGATATGATTAATCGTCGTGCTCTGAAAACCGATCATATCAAAATGTTTGTCCTTG